TCAAATTTCTTGTTGGGTGCTTACATTCGCATGCAAACCTTTTTTCAGGTGTTTATGTTTGAGAAGGGGGGGGGGGGGGGGGTTGCTTAGAATCGCGAAAATACGGTATATATATATATATATATATATATATGCTTTGTTTTTCCCACAAGCCATTACGGCGCGCTCATATGATTGAGATACACGGGACTAAATTGGCTCACGAGCGTTTTGGTGCCAACAGAAGATATATAGATTTCTGGCAAAGAGAGAGACTGAAAAGGTTTACTCCGACTTAACATAACAAATTAATAACAAAAGGTACAGACGTTTCGCCACCTATGCAGGTGGCATCTTCAGTATACACTGACACAAATGAGGTGAGGTCGACCAGTCTACTTATCACACACGTCCCCGTAAACGTCCGGCAGGGAGCCACGGTTGGTGTTGCACACCGATGAGTCACGGCGAATGAACCAGGACTCGACGAATTTTCTTTGCCCCCACCTTTGTTCTCGGGCCAGCGTCGTCGCATTGTCCAGGTCGAAACTGTGTCCTGTCGTCCAGCAGTGTTCGACAAGTTCCGTCTTGGACCGCGTGGCATGGGTGGCCTTGGCAACGTCCCTTTGGTGTTCTTTCGATCTCGTTGCCCTCTTTCTGCCCGTTTCGCCGATGTAGGTCGCGTCACAATCCCCGCACTGCACTTTGTATACGACCCCCCTCTGACCGTCTGCAGAGGTGCGGTCCTTCGGTTTCGGGAACACATTCGCTAAGGTATAATGTGGTTTAAAAACAGTTTGTACGCCCAGCGGGCGCAAAGCTCTCCGAAAACAGTTTGTACGCCCGCTGGGCGTACAAACTGTTTTTAAACCACATTATACCTTAGCGAATGTGTTCCCGAAACCGAAGGACCGCACCTCTGCAGACGGTCAGAGGGGGGTCGTATACAAAGTGCAGTGCGGGGATTGTGACGCGACCTACATCGGCGAAACGGGCAGAAAGGGGGCAACGAGATTGAAAGAACACAAAAGGGACGTTGCCAAGGCCACCCATGCCACGCGGTCCAAGACGGAACTTGTCGAACACTGCTGGACGACAGGACACAGTTTCGACCTGGACAATGCGAAGACGCTGGCCCGAGAACAAAGGTGGGGGCAAAGAAAATTCGTCGAGTCCTGGTTCATTCGCCGTGACTCATCGGTGTGCAACACCAACCGTGGCCCCCTGCCGGACGTTTACGGGGACGTGTGTGATAAGTAGACTGGTCGACCTCACCTCATTTGTGTCAGTGTTCTTCAGTATACACTGACAGTGTATACTGAAGATGCCACCTGCATAGGTGGCGAAACGTCTGTACGTTTTGTTATTAATTTGTTATGTTAAGTCGGAGTAAACCTTTTCAATCATGAATTCACCCGGCTTTTGGAATATTTTTGCAAAGAGAGAGACGGCAGACATCATTAGCACTAAGCAGCTATTTTTCCGTTTCCGAGTTTCCCACATGGCATATGTGATACGAAGGATGCAGCTATTGCCAAGTACGCAACCGAAGCTTTTACTCGGATAGTGATTTTTTTTAATATATATATATATATATATATATATATATATATATATACACATACATACCCTGATACATTGGCAGGATCAGAAGAGCAGGGTCCATCTTTCCAACGCCCGAACTCCAGCCCGCACTAGTTGTTTTCGTCCGCGCACTGGCTGCTCTTCTGCGCTCAAAGCTCACGACATACCAGAAGTATTTTGGGGGGAAGAAAGCTCCCCTAGTGGGTGGGAAAACTGAAGGATCTTCCTGGATATTATCATCATTTCTGTAAAATTAGACTCGCGTGCATTCTTTCTTTTTGCTAGCCGTTTTTATTTAAGTTTAAAAACAAATTTTGTTTCAACATTATGACAGCTCATTTCTGTTTTACTTAATCTTAATCTATGTCGATGGTTATATTTCCCCTTGGGGTTTATAACTCATACATGACGTTAGTTAGTTCAAAAGTCACTTTGACGGAATTTCTCCGAGTCGATATCGCCTGAAGCCTAATATTGTCAAAACCAACCGAGCTTATGGACGCACGTGGCATTTATATCTGCGAAAAACACGAGTGAGCAGGAAAGAAATATTTTTTTTTCTTTTTTGTCGACAAGTGTATTTCACTAAAATGGTTATCAAATGATTCATGAAACGATATCTGCTTGGAATGTTCATGACTTTGCAGAGGCGTACTAGCCAGTCTGGCCCAAGTATATTCGCACAAACCGCCAGTGTTAGAGAAGCTTCTTTATCGCGGTGCAATTGCGAGGGATCGTAATTGTGGGATCGAAACCACCCGCCTGACGACAGTCGAGCGCGGCTCATGGATTGGACAGGAGAACTGCGTAAGCATTCGGCTTCGCCTCGTAACAGTCAATGCCACGGCGGACACTCGCGTAGTGGCTCCTCTCTAACCACTACGGTGATGACAATAGCCGGACTTTAACAATGCCTCGAGCTGAGCGCGCGTTTTGTACTTTTTGCCCGTGACTATGAGTAACGCTGGCCTCCATGCCACGTGACGGCTTGTTCTGGCTCTTGGTTGAGGGGATGAACGACGCTCATATTTCTCGAATTTTTTTAGTGACTGCCATTGACTAGAAAGAAAAACTAAGGTACGTTTATTCGGTTATTATTGTTAGGGAGTGCTTCTGAGTAGTATTTAGGGAAAGTAGAACAATCGTTTCATGGCCGCTGTAAGGGCGCCCACAATGTCATTTATTGTTTTGACGATATTTCTCTTAGTTGGACGTGAGCTCATAGGACAATGTCGTTTTTTCTCTTGAGAGAGAAGATAACTGGACTAGTTGATATGGGTTCAACTTGAAACCGCGCGAATGTTATACGGACAGTGGTAGTGTAATTTTCTCAACCTTTGGCGTTCTATCGCGACCGCTCTAACGTCTCAATCACACTAAATTTCACCCTTCTGCTATGCCTATAGTTTATTTACGCGGGATTAAAAACACGGTTCTATTTTGTTGTAATAAGTGCAGTATATGCTTAAAAAAAAAATCGAGTTCGCGTTTTGCGTAATTTATATTGAATATGCATTTTTGGTCTTGGGAGTTTTCTTGTGTTGTAAGAGTAGAAGAGTTCTGCATTTACTGGAGGTAATACTGGTGAACGCAAACTTAAGAAGGATAATGCGTGGCCCACTGTTTTGAGGACTCCTTACGTTTTCTTTTAGAAATGACCGACGAAGTCTCCATACAAGTCATTCGTGTCATACTGAGGTTGTTAGACCATCGCAAGTGATTGGTTTAGTTTATCTGCTTTAAAGGTTCAATGACGTGGGTTTAAGAAGCTTCGTAGATTGTTTACGCAAAATAAAAATAAGTATACAGTTTTGCGATTACCAACGCAATAAAAAGTGGAGGCGCTTCCACTGCACGATTCTCAGCTCGCGTGCTTCGAAAACAATTTTGAATTCGAACGTCTGCGACCGTGCCTTGCCGGCGCTAACCTGCCAGTAATAAGAAAATTGCGAGTGAATCCAAGGTTTCAAATAATTGAACAGTGTACAAGCTGAATGAGCGCTTAAGCGTTCTTTGCGCTGTGTGTACCTCCCGGCAGATTGGCGTTGTTTTTCATTATACTTATCTGAAAGCAAAACAATTACAGGAGCCAGCTTGGTGTACTACAGGGTGTCTCGAATAGCGGCCAGGCTCTTAAGATCGACTGCAGAAATAGGTTTCTTAACCTATCGCTCTACGGTTTTGTGCAGCGAGGCCCACAGGTGGTGCATTTTTTTACCTATAAAATTTGCAAAGAGCGAACTTATTCGAGGAAAAAATAAGAAAAGAAAAAGTCTTAACTCCTTTGGAAACGCAGCCAACCCACCGGTCCTCAAGCAATAGGGTGCCGCTTCGCACGGGAGACAAGAGATGGCGCAAGCGGTCGCGACGCCAACTGCCGCCAACGAACGAGCGTACGGCGCTGAGAGCCGGGGTCACATAGAAGACGTTCTTCTTCACTCAAAAGCAGCGCGAGCTTTTTCGATGTCGGTTGCCAATGAACGCTTTTATCATGCTTACTTATAGAACAGAACACATTGAATGGACACACACTCGAGTTAAAAAAATGGTTTGTCGGGTTATTTGAACTGTTTTTTTTTTGTTTTTTTTTTTTGTTTTTTTGTGGAGGGAGGGGGGGGGGGGTACTTAAGTCGCCTGCTTCGCAGTTCCTTGTTGTTACCGCGCCTGTTTTTGATTCTGCGACTGTCGCCCCCTGCGGAACGCGTGCCGCTTTTGAGTAAAAAATATCGTCTGCTAATGACGCTGGCGGTCGGCGCCGTATGCTCATTCGTTGGCGGCAGTTGGCGTCGCGATTACTTGCGCCATCTCTTGTCTGTCGTGCCAAACGGCGCCCTATTGTTTGAAGACGGGAGGCTTCGCTGCGTTTCTCTAGGAGTTAAGCTTTTCTCTTTTTTTTTACTTTTTCCCCAGGTAAGTTTGCTTTTTGCAAATTTTATAGAAAAAAATGTACCACCTGTGGGCCACGCTGCACGAAATCGCAGCGCGATGGGTTAAGAAACTGATTTTTGCGGTCGATTTAAAGAGCCTGGCCGCTGTTTGAGACACCCTGTATACACGCCAGTCATTTAAGACATCTTTCTAAGGTTGCAAACAAATTATCTATAACACAACTTCGTTCCCAGGCATATAAAGATCGACGGAGGTCCTTGCCATTATTATGCCGACAATTTATTGCAGATTATGTGTTTAATAAACAATATAGTACCATGATTTCTGCAATCTCACTGCTGTCCCGGCATCTGAATGCTAGGGGAGAGGGAGGCCAGGTGCCGCAGATCTGAAATGTGAGCGCCCTAGTAACAGCTAAGAAGTATTTTTGTTTTTTGACAGTAACTTTTAAAACTGTTTAGTCTTTAGGATGGGCAATTAGTGATCTTATCTCCTTTGTCTGTTTGCTGCAATAACCACCATTTACTTCACTGGCATATCTTTTGCAGGCGACGGAGCTGCTGTGTTGGTCGGCAGCAGTGGCCTGTGGCGTGGCCATTGTGTTTGCACCCCACAAGTGGTACACGGACCATTCCTACTCCATCTATCGTCCGGAATGCCTGCTGTTCGCGTCACTGCATCGTGTTGCTTGGACACTTAGCGTGGGCTGGGTCGTCTTCGCTTGCGCAACAGGCAGAGGAGGTACGAAGCCTTTTACCTGGCGACGCAAAGATTCTGAAAGTGCGAGCACTTTTTGCAATAGTAGGAACTTTTTTCAGGTGAAACTTGTGTTCCAATATAGGACTGCGACATCTTCTAAAGCATAAGAACTTCATCTGAAAATATGTCTAGCTACGTAATAGCGCAAATATGAAGCAGAATAAGTTACACAAATAATGTCGCTCCAATCTGTTATTATGCTTTATTTTTTTGCCATTCTTGTGACTTTCGCAACTTTTACAGTCTAGTTTGATACCAGCAAAGGCGCTCAAGGTATAACTACCTTTCAAAAGATTTGTTGCGGAATTAAAAATACGAATAGCATAACGACACGGACAGCGTAAGAGAAGACTGGCAAACAACAGCGTCAGTTTTTCCCCCCTTTTTACGCTTTTTTTTTTGTTTCGTTGTTAATAATTTTAAGAATGAACAAACTTGCCAAATCATCAACGGTATTCAACCTTAAAGGATACAAGTACACACAGGAAAAGTGCGAAAATAAATTCAATGACCAAAAGTTAGAAGCCTTCGACGGGAAAGCGTTTTTTTGTTGCAGGGTTCGTGATGTCTTTCCTGTCGTGGCCTGCTCTGGTGCCCCTGAGTCGGCTTTCATACGGCGCTTTCTTGACTCACGTGGTCATTCTGCTCGTCCAAACCATGACCAACCGCGAAAGAATCGCCTACACGTATATGGTCAAGGTACGTTGGTTGAGAACGTTCCAAGCGAATTGGTTGATTGATTGATACAATCTGAATTATTTCATCAATTTGTAGGGGTTCTAGATATTTAATTACCTATAAGTAGACGTCTGGGATTAGGGTAACTTCTGGTTATTTTTCCCTACAGAGTCCATTTATTCAAAAAGCATAAACATATTACGAACATACATTATGCAACGGGGTCAATCTTACGAAATATATCCCTGAACTCATGTAGCCCGAAAGGAACAATAATGCTTTCTTGACGAATTAGAGTGTGCTGATAACGTTTCAAGAATTAAGAGAAAAAAAATATATGGGTTGCTTTTTTATTGGTAAAATATTTCATCAACATAATAAGCAGACAGGATCAACATCAACGCACATGATTGTTTGTAAAAGAGGGTCTTGTCTGAGACGAAATTGAATAGTACCTGTGAAGTGTTAGTGCTCGCTTGTTAACAACAAGGCACATTATAATGTTTGAGTTTAAGGTATCAATACGGTTATACTACAAAGGTCATACCCATCACGCTGGTAAATGAATGTCAAAATGTGTTAAAGTTCGCCTCTTTTTTATCTCTTTTTATTGGATGTTGGGGGGGGGGGGGGGGCTAAAAATATCTAAAAATGTACAGTGGCGAGTGTAAATATATATTTTTAATAAGTTGCCTACGCTGTGTAATTAAAAATTAAAACTGCCCGAAACCATCTCCCCTTATACCAACATAGCACTACTACACTGAGTCAATAGTACGAAATGGTCCGTAGTGTGTGTAGTGGCAAAGGTTGGCGACTCCAATATACCGGCATGACGCATGGTATGGTAAACTATTTCCCAGACAAAAGTTCTACAGCGAAAAGGTGATACGCCTGAAATTACAATTACAGACGATGAACTACTTCTCCGTCGTGATGGCGTCCTACCTCTGCGCCTACGTCCTCTTCTTGTTCTGCGAAGCGCCCGTGGCAACATTGGAGCGAACCCTCCTGGGCGGACGCAGGTCTCCAGCGACCGAGATGGAGCCGACAAAGCCGAACTCGGAACCGGCAAGAACCACGGAAAACGGCCATCATCACGCTTGTGGATTTGTACTTCCAGTTCGATGTGGATCTACAGATGAGAGCGCCCAAAGGAGCCACCTCTAGTCGGGACTCGTGGACGAACGTCCAATCGAAGATCGTACCCACGAATTTTGTGTCATAAGTGCTGCACCTAGATTGACGCTCTGAACTTCCGTGAACTCCCCAAATGTTCTTGAGTGCGGAAAGTGTGGTTGTATAGTGACACGCGATGATGACGGAGTGATAATTTTGTTGCGCGTTTAGAGAATTCCATTTGTGAATTAACATTAAAAATATTGTCTGTACGTGGATTCATCAGGGACAGATATACACACAAATAGCTGCATCGTTCTGAACTGCATCCCAGCAAAGGGTGCTGATCCTTCTATATTCTGCTCCTTACGGTCATCTTCAGAGCTAACTGCTCTAGGACAATTGCTACCTCTGCGTGCTTCACGCCAGATCTAAAGAGTCGGCTCCGTCGTGCAACAGGGATTACTCGCTAAGAATGTGGAATCGAGGCTTGGGATAGGCGTGACTCCCACAGGGCATCTATACTTCGTTTCACATCAAGTCCTGACGCAGCAGATATTAGGAGCTGATGGGACAGACCAGATAGCGTTAAACGCGCACCATGATGGTGTTCGTCATGTTGCTCTACCTGCTGGTTGGTCCCATTAGCTCCTAGCGTCCGCTGCGCCCGAACTAAAGCCGAAACGATGTATAGATCAACTGAACTCTGTGACGTCACATCGCTGAGGTGGCGCTGCTGTCGGAACTGCGCATGCACAGATCCTTCGCCTCGTGCGATTCTGGTTTGGGCAAACGCGGGCTTGTTTATAACCGTGTGCTGGTCAATAACAGTACTTCGGGTTGGGAGTTACCGACGGGGATAAAAAGTATATGTAAGTCCTTAAAGCATAGAACTTTAAGTGTGAGTGCGATGAAGGGAAAAATAATACATCGATGACTTTCCCAGCGTGTGTAACTCCAACGTCATCATGGTGACTGCGAAATGACTTTGTGTTAGAGAACAGAAGACGGCAAAAGAAGGAACACAGAGAATGCACGAGTGACCTGATTTTTTTATGATATTAGTGCAAGTCGGATCACAATAAAGCTCTTACACGTGATTGCTGTTCAAGGACACTGTATCTAAATTCCAAAAAAAGAATAGATTGCATGATATTAGTCTTTACAGATTTTCTCCAGGGAAAATAGGTGCTTATTTGAATGCAGTGAGGCCAACCTGTGCCTTTTCCCGGCAAGCTACGCTGTGAAAAAAAAAGGGGAAAATGGGGCTGCGTTCTTGCCGTGTTTCACCGCCGACTACGACAAAATGCGACATTCGGACGTTTCTTCTATGAAGGCCATATTCCGCCCATTTAAATTAAGACGAGCATCGTTCGCTCACTCAGCACGTGGTCGTACCAGAAGTATCCCACATTGCTTCTCCTTCCCCTAGCTAAACCTTGTTTGTATATATATTTGACAGCTTGAACCAGGGGAAGATATAGAGAAATTGAGACAGGAGAGAATAGACAGCTGACTACCAACGATTATTTAGTGGGAACTTCTTTTTCCTTGCGTGTTTTCAGACACCAACAAAAATTATTACATATTAAAACCTATTATACTAATATAATAATGCATGTGTATGTTTACAAAATTTTCACATTACCTAAACCTAAACTAATATTTTAAATTCACCCGCCACAAGCTCATACTGCCATTTTCTGGACCGTGACGCACCGTAGATATTGTCTCTCCTTTTTGTGAATAGTGATGGACGGGGTGCTGACGCACCCACTCGCTTGTTCTTCGATAGCAAGCGCCTCGAGCATCTCGCGCGCATGAGTATTGTTATTACTGGCTAGGATGGTTATGTCCTTGAACGCTGCACTGCAGTGGCAAGTCCTGCAATGAGCTGCAAGATGCCCTGCCAACAACAAGCTCCACTATCAACCGTTAAACCTTGTTCTCGTTTCCGGCGCTTTATTGGCACGACGAACATTCCGAACCTCAGTGGGACGCTGCTTCTGTTCAGCCGATGCGTTCTTCAGTCCGCTCCTTTTTCTTCCAATGCATTCCGAAGACGATCAGAGCCCTTTAAGCAACCGTATGCTTTCTATTGTAAGATGGATGGATGGTATCGGCGTTGGCGATCGGTCTCTGCCTCCCAAACGCTTCTAGCAGTCAAACGACAGATCTCACCAACCTTTCAGTGCATGCGCGAGCTTGAGCAAGCCACATTGGGTGCCCCCATAACTTTAGCACCTAGAGTCGACGGACGCGGTTGAAGCGCGGAGGCTGTGAGTACACGCAGGTCCAAATCTCTAGCCTCCGCCGTCGCCTTGTTTCCTCATTGAGGCATGGCACTGCCAGAGCAAGCATAAGTAATCCGCTTTTCTTCAGTCTAGAAAATTATGAGTATCCTATCCAACTTTTTTTTTTCGGTTCCTTTTATTTGAACCCGCGACCGACTCAAAGAGGCTCCGGCTTCTTTCATTTTTTATTTTTTTGCCGCGATGCTCATTTGCAGTGTGCCGGGGGAACATTGTAGAAGATCACCACAGGTTCATTGAATCTATTTTGAGCAACAAATCACGGGTTCATGAAGCCCTTTATGAGCCATTATGCGGTTTAGGGGAACGCATGTTTGTGGTGGATTTGATATGCATGTGCGCGTGGTTTCGTTTATAAACACACCTCAGGAAGGAACGATGAATGTTGCGCACTCCTCTGTGACTGACATTATTTTATGTAAATCCCACCATACTGTTTGTTAGAAATAAGGCTAGCGTTTAGTGCAAGTCGTTACATCGTAAATTTTTGGATGGTTTGTTCACAAGCATGCTGAACCATATTTGACCATGTGGACATTCAGATCACGTTGTTCCTGCAGTGTAGTTCATTGCGCGTTGCAGCGCTTGTTTTTAATTATCCATGATTTGAATTTCTACTGTGGTGAAAATATCTGGGGGATGTTTGTAAACAGGGCCTTAGTTTACACATTGGAAATATGCTTCACAGAATTGTTTATGCCATGTTTCTGTTTGTTGCTTCTACCTTAAACTGAGGTCTTAAAACATTTGGTGGTACCAGCTTGCTAGCCTTGTCTTTGGGACGCTTGAGGTGTCTATACCATTTACCCGCATGCCTTTGGCGAGCGAGCGAAGGCTATGAAAAAACATCTCGATAATTTCGATTTTTGAGACCAGTCGCGGCCACGAACTTAAAAAAAATTTTAAACGCAAAAAAAAAAAAAAAAAAAAAAAAAACGGTGAAGAAAGCTACCGATAAAGGCAGGTCGCCTGTTTAAAAAAATGAGTGCCGAACACAAGATGCCGCGCGTTCTCGGGACGCAAACACGATCGGAGGCAACCACGATCACCAACGACTCGGAGGTCACTCTGCGGGTTCTGCCAGTTTTGTCTCTCATTCCCAACAACCGGGCAATCAGAACACGTGCGAGTTCGTTTCCACTCTCACAACTTTGATTACCGAGCTGTTTCGAATAAGCGAAGACTCACTTACCGACCTTTACTGTCTGCCGTGCGAACTTTGGCGAGTGAATCTTCTCTTAACTGCCGGTTCTTCAGAAAGATTTATAAAATCCGACACCCTTGTTTTTGGTACTGTTGTTGCTGTAGTCAGGGACGCAACACGGGAAACCCGCCATAACGGCAGAGAAAAAGAAAAACAATTCAATGGAACAACAATGCTAACGCCGTCTGTGAGACGCTGGCCGTCAGCCAAATCTTCACTGTATCTCCGCCCGTGACCGCACCTGCGCCGCCACGGTGCTTTGGAACGCGTGTCCAACTAGTGTGCTTAGCGCCTTATTCCGCCCGTGCATAGAAACTGGTCCCGAAGTGGCAACGAATGACGTGACGAAAGCCAGTATGCCATGCTGTCGGATGTCGCGTTCCTGTCGGTTGGTCGTAAAAATGCTGGCGAAACGCACGAGCGAAAGCGAATGGCGCTGTCGTCACAGCGTCACGACTCCTGGTTGCTTAAACTTTCGTGGACTGACAAGCTGAAGACTGACCTGCCGAAGAACAGGCGTCTGCCACATCCACCACTGCTGCTGTGACGCCGCCAGGATCGCGGCCGGCGACATCATGACACTTCTATGACGTCATCAGGCGTCATAGAGGTCCCGCAATGCATAGCGGCAACGGCGGCGTAGCAAAACTTGCTGGTGAGATCGATCTATTCAGCAGAGGGGAACGAGAATCTATTCGCGCCTCCTCCGAAAACTTCTGACGCGCCTGGTTCCCATTGTTCAAAAACCGGCGTGTGGTTTTAACCCACACTGAAAGGGTACTAAAGTGCTTTTTGAGATCCTCCTTTTATTGTCATAACTCAATTTAGGAGTGTAAGCATTTTAAAATAAAACGCCATTAAACTCATGCGCGGCCGATTTGCGCATTCAAAAAGTGATCAAAGTTCCCGACACTTACCGTCGGCGCCGAACGACTGATGACGCTATCGAATCTTGCTGAATATGGTCGAACGACGGACGACGCCTGTGAGCCATTCGCGAGCGATGGGTTCCCGGGTGGACGAGAGGGACTGCTCGGCCATTCGTCATTCCACCATATTCAGCAAGGTTTGGTAGAACCATCTGTCGTTAGGCGCCGACTGCACGTGTAAGGAACTTTCATCACTTTTTTTTTTTTTTACTTATGTAAAGTGCCAAACGCGTTACGCCACTTGACTTGTTCGTCTGCGTCGCCGCCTGCCGTTGAACCTGGCAAGTTTTTTTTAAACTTTTTGCCGTATTTTGTACAAAAGGGAGCTGCGCCTTGTCATTTTACAAGGAAAAACCAACCTGTGATGTGCAGCTTTGAAGAAAAGTTTATATTGTGTGGGAACCACGTGTTTCTCGCATCCCATCTAGGCCTAGCTCATGCAGGCCGTGGGACGTCGCCAGGTCGGGGCGCGTCCCGGATGCGAGGGCGAAGCCGTATTTCCCTTATGAGCGGCTTTCCCTCGTCCTTCTCGGATGATTTGCCGAAGGCACTCCCCTCGGGCTCATGACTTGGACGCGTCCGCCCCTCCGGGGAGCCCACCTACATCCGACCCACCCCGGGCGCTTCCATTCCCGCAGACTATATAATATATAAAACGGCCTTAATTCAACGGGCTCAGCTAGGGGGAGGAAGTGGCCGAGTGGGCTAACGCGTCTCAGCTCGGAGCGTGGAGCGAAAGCTTGCGCTGGGAACCTCCTGGGTTCGATCCCCGCCGCTCCCGCCCATTTCGATCTGGATGAGTTTCGTACCGGCACGCGTTCGTGTGATCACTACTGCGTGATGCACGTTAAAAATCCCAGGTTAGCGGTTGTACCGCACTGGCTAAATTTCTCATCTACAGCTAAGAGACCGATTACCCGTTGAGGCGCATCTCCATCAAGGCTGTATAAACATAAAGAGCAAGTCAATTTTTAACGGGCTCAGCTCGGAGCGTGGAGCGAAAGCTTGCGATGGGAGCCTCCTGGGTTCGATCCCCACCGCCCCCGCCCGTTTCGATCTGGATGAGTTTCGTACCGGCACGCGTTCGTGTGATCACTAATGCGTGATGCACGTTAAAAATCCCAGGTTTGCGGTTGTACCGCACTGGCTAAATTTCTCAACTACAGCTAAGAGACCGATTACCCGTTGAGGCGCATCTCCATCAAGGCTGTATAAACATAAAGAGCAAACCGATTCTTAACAGGCAGGACTCTTGCTGGGGGAGGCTCTGCTCGATGAAGCCTTCCTATCTTTATCTGATCATCCCCCTCCGTCATTCTGTTCAAAGCGGCAGCGTGGACTCTGACTGGCGATCCTGTCAAGAAAGACAGCGCCGTCTTCTCCAACATTGTTGGCCCTCAGGGCAAGCGTGTGGCGTTATCGTCAATAAATACGGTTTTATCCGGACCGAAGGAACCTACTGTGTTTCTAAAGGGCTATTCCCACTAGGGAGAAATCCCGGGAATTTCTTCCCGGCACACGCATCCCACGACGAAAACGTCAGGCTTTGCCATGTGCAAAAGCCTCGCGTTTTCATGTCGTGATGCGCACGTGTCGGGATCTCGTGTGGATACCGCTTAAGTGGTACCCCCAAAGGGGAAACCCAGAATTAATATGTGCACACTCTA